AACGTTCAATTATGAAAACTCAGGGAACAGAGGGAACACGGCTTCACTTTCATGAAGTCAGTATGTCATTATCTGCAATCCAAATCTCAAGAACATTTGGTACCTTGATAAGAAAATAAAGGCTTTCAGTGTAAAAAATTACACATATGTGTTTTAGATCCCAGAAGTCCTTGGATTAAAAAAAAAAAAAAAAAAAAAAAGAGGAGGGGCAAGAGAGAGAGAAGAAAGGAGGAGGAAAAGTCAGCCAGATCAGCAAAGCCATTCAGCTGAGCCCAGCCTCAACTGGCTGAACCTCACAAAGGTGTGAAAAATAAACATCTATTGTAGTGGGAGGTTTTGTGGTTGTCACTCAGCAAAAGTTAACAGATACAAAACCTGATAACACTAAGTACACCTACTGGGAGATCAAAGTGGATAACAAAAAATTCATCTCAAAAATGTCAGAAGGACCAATTAGAAAAAAAACTCATCAAAAGCAGGCATTTATAGGGGCCAGCCCATGGCTCACTCGGGAGAGTGTGGTGCTGATAACACCAAGGCCCCGGGTTCGGATCCCATATAGGGATGGCCGGTTTGCTCACTAGCTGAGCGTTTTAAGGGTTAAGATCCCCTTACCGGTCATCTTTTTTTTTAAAAAAAAAAAAAGCAGGCATTTATCAATATCAATCAGTGTATATATAAATACTATTAAAATTGCACTGTTCTTTTCCTCTAGAAATTCTAATAAAAGCAAATAAAAATAATGCTAAAGGTTAATTCTACGTGACAGCATTTGAATTCCTGTCCTGACCACAAGAAATTAATCTTCAGTAAACCTTTGACTGAAAGGCTGGTTTTAGCACCTCTGTGCCCTAAGCAGGAAAATCAATGAGCCTACTTACTCTGACAGATGGCTGCTAACACCTAACAGACCCTTGCAGAAAGAGGGGGGTTTTGACCTGAACCCTTGACGGAGACCACTGCTGAGTAGGAAGTTGGCACTAAGGTTTCCAATATTTGGATAAGAAGAAGGTAATCAAGGACTTTAAAGATCTTGCCAAATGAGGTAGCTGGGAATGGAATCCTGAAATCATAGTTCCAGCACAATAAAGATGTAGACATCAGATTCCAAACCCAATTGGAGTCCTGATGAAACTACTAGCAAGTCTGCATGCCTAAAAACCATCCCAAAAGTTTATATGTAATTAGAAATGAGACACAGATGGTTATTTTCTTTCAGTTTCTTCTATTTTTTAATCTTATCTGCTTGAGAAAATTATCCTTTCTTAAATCTAGATAGATAATCTGATTTGTACACAGACCCCAGGCTTGAATCTAAATCAGAGGCATTTTGGCTGAAAAATCCAAGGTCTACAGGAGTTTAAATTGAGGTTATTTTGCTATTTTGGTATTTCCATGAAGCCTTCCTTCTGTGGCTTCTCCACACCAGTGCCACAGCAGGGTGGAGCAGCACCACATCTGAATGAAACCACGACCAGGCTGGTGTGGCCTAAACTAAAGTCAGACTTTTCCCCACACTGCAGTCTTTCACACCTACAGCAATGCTGCCTAAGTCTAAATTCCATCATGGTCTACTCAGCAGAATCTCTTGCTGCTCTGGTTGTAACAAATCCACAGTGAGAAATAGCTTTATATAATATATTTTACCTGAATGGAACAAGGAGGGGTTTTGAATCTGAGGGGCAAAAAGAAAATGGTACTATATACATTCTATTTCCTGGGGTGACGACTACATTTGGATTATTTGAGAGAGAAAGGGTAGGAGAGAGCAGGAAAGTTAATGCGTAATCGCTATCTCATGCCAAGAAGAAAACTCCTCCTCCTCTGGACTCCCACTTCCACTCTTTTCACCTAGAAAGCAGACAGCATAACACAGGGTAGCCAGAGGAAGGAACTGCGGCTGAGTGCTCTATCTCCTTCACCGTGGTTATACAGGAATGGCTGCAGGAAGAATCCAGGGTAGCCAGATTGCTAAAGCACACACTTAGAAGGCACAGCATCAGGGCTGGTCAACCTCTTTGTCAACAATTTAGAGCATTCCATAATCTCCTAGGTAGTTGGAATGAGGGGTGGAGATGAAAGTACGGGTACATCATTAAACACTGACAATCTACTTACAGGCTCCACAAACTCAAACATCTTTCTCTCTTGGACTTCCTGCACCTTGAAGACATATTCCAAGGATACTTCATAGAAATGCTGTCGGACCAGATCCACTTGGCTGTCTGCCTACAAACAAGATGAGATTTAAGAGAAAAATCAAGTTACTACCCAAGGAGAGCATTTAGCAAGCGGGCCAGAAAAAACTCTCTGGAGACGATTTTAAAACAAATCAAATAGCATGACGCAGAAAGAAGAAAAATGACTATAGTAACCATTTCACTATGTATAAGTATATTGAAATATCATGTTATACATCCTAAGTACATACAATAAAAAAATAAAAGACAAAACAAAAAACAGAAAGCCCTCAAATGAAACTGTAGGTTAAAAAGGTAAATGGGTGGGCCAAAGGAACATCATGTTAGCCCAAATAGTATCAGGTCATAATATTAAAAGTAATCAAATCTTAGAAACAAACAAAAAAGAAATAATTTTAATGGCTAGCTAAGCACTGATTTTGTGCTAGGAATCATGTCCACAGCTGTGCATACATTACCTTATTTAATCCTCATTAATTATTTAATCCTCCTTAAGTTCCTATAAAAAATATATTATCTTTGTCTCTAACTTACAGGAGGAAAATGAAGTCCACTAACATTAAGAAACTTGACTAAGGTCACACAGCTCGTACAGGGCAGAGCTGGGATTTCCATCCTGGCGAATCTTACTCTAAGACCCTTGATTGTCCTTAAACCACTATGCTCACTGCCTCCCCACACCCTGGGACAGACGTAGGTTCCATGGAAGACAGAATTTTAAGCGGAAAAAAAACCCCTACAGGGCCATCCAGTCCTTCCTAATGAGCAAAGCAAACTGTTAGAGGGCAAGGAATCTCAGCAAAGGACATTTTCATACCAGTCCCAAATACTTTATGATAAGAATAAACTGTCAGTTTACCACAAACACAATAATTACATTGCTCCCTCTGAACTCACTTCTCTGTGAGGAGTGTATCTGGGACAGGCCCACAAATGGGTACAATTAAACCACAAATCTGGGATCTAGAACTCAGGGGAGAATACAGGTATGCATGGGCTAGCAAGATGCTATGCTGGTAAGTAACAGACTCTCACTATAAAGCTATACTCTCCCTATAAAGGTTAAGACCTTTCCACAATGTGGCTGTGCAACTCACTCTTTCAAAGCAGATAATTACACTGAAAGCACACTTCAAAGACAAAGCACTAAATATATTTTTTTAATATAAATGAATATCCTGGTAGGAGGAAAAAAATCACTCACTTTTGCCTAGAAATGATGGAGTCAGAAACCATTCTTTAATGCAATTTACTAAGACAAACAAAGCTCCCAAAGGAATATTTCTTTCAGTATTCCTTCATCAAGACCCCTACAGAAGGAACTTGGAACAAACCTCACTTCCATTTTACCAAATATAGTATGCTATCTGCTATGTGTCAAATGTGCTCCCCAAAAGTTCAGGTGTTACAAACTTGATCTCCATCATAACAATATTAAGAGGGTGGGAAATCCTATGACGGTAATTGAAATGTGCGGCCTTTGAGAGGTGATTAGATTGTAAGGACTATACCCTCATGAATGGATTAATACATTCATGAGTAATGGGCATGATTCTGATGGTTTTATAAGGAGAGCAAGTCAGGTTAACTTACTCTTGCTCAGCCCATTCTCACCATGAGACACCCCTGGTCACCACAGGACCCTGCATCACTGAAGAAGAAGGCCCTCACCAGATGTGTTCCCTGGACTTTGGACTTCCCAGCCTCCAACACCGTAAGAAATAAATTTCATTTTCTTTGTAAATTACCCAGTTTCTTGTACCCTTTTATAAGCAAAAAGGAAACAGACTAATACACTACCCTGACATCTTAAGAACTTAGCCTCCTTCATTCATTCAACTATCATGAGCAAAAAGAAACTTCCTTCATGGATCTTACAGCCTAGTGAAGAAAAGAGACATTAGTCAAATAATCATGTAAATAAGGAGGAAACTACAAGCCCTGCTAAAATAACAAGATGCTATGAAACAGCCCGAGAGAATACACTCAAGTCTCTCATGCTAGCAATTTCCTCCCAGAGCAACTTCCCTATTAATACAAAGGAGCTAGTCTGCTGAGTAACTGCTCAATAAAACCAATGAAGAGCTGAGACTGGGAGCATCTGCTAAAGCCTCCAAGCAGGGGAAGGAGATATCTGAGCACTGACAGATCTTTTTGTTGGAGGCAGGGTTTCAGAAGACCCTGCACCTCACCTCTGCATGTATGGCTGCTTAGACGACTGGGCTAACACACCCTCCACCTGGGCTTCTGCCAGCTAAGTCTCATACATTCCTGTAGACTTTAGTAGATTTTAATCTCCTTATTGTGCAAACCCAACATACTTACATCGAAGGATGCATCTACACCCCCTGACTACCCCACATACCTGAGACTGAAAGGCAGGGAAGAAGGGGAAGTGACATTCCTGCAAAATGCCCCTTGCAGTTAGGCAGGGATGAAGAAGCCAGAAGGAAATTACTGCAAGAAAACAGAACCAACTCCAGCATCAGTCAGAGAGAGCTGACCTAAGTCAAGTTCCAGTTCTATGATTTTCTAGCTAGTCACTGATTAAGTCACTGATCCTAATGGAGATGATAATTATCTGCCCTTGCTTCTGAGTAGAGCTGTATCAAAGAGAAAATGGGCTGAGGAACGTGAACAATTTGAAAACCTGGAATCATCCCATGCATGTTGGTTGTTACTATCACCAGGCACTTCAGAGCAGATGGGCTTCAATCCCTGCTCCTCCCCCAAACCAGCCATATAATCTCTGGGCCACTACACTTCTCTTCTGACTGGTCTCCCCATCTTCATTCTCTCCCACTCCTCAAACCAATCTCCAACTAGCAGCCAGAATACCATTCTTAAAAATCTAAATCAGATGATATCACGGCACCTTCGAAGCCCTCCTATAGCCTTCACCATGGTCTGCAAGACCCTGTGTGATGTGCACACCCTCCATCCTCACACCTCCTCCCATCCTAACCCATTCTCACTCCAGCCACTCTGTCTCTTTCCTGTCCTCTAACACTCCAAACCTCTTTCTTTTTTTTTAAAAAGATGACCGGTAAGGGGATCTTAACCCTTGACTTGGTGTTGTCAGCACCACGCTCACCCAGTGAGCAAACCGGCCATCCCTATATGGGATCCGAACCCTTGGCCTTGGTGTTATCAGCACCGCACTCTCCCAAGTGAGCCACAGGGCCGGCCCCAAACCTCTTTCTTGCCTGCAATCTTTGTTACATCTGCCTGAAAACTTCCTCCCCTAGATAAGTACACAATTTTTTTTACTTCAATAAATAGTGAGAAATACTTTTTACATTATGACCCAATAAACATTTTTCTTTTAAATGTATTTAAAATTTTTTTTTCATTGTTTATGGGGTACAGTTTGCTGTCTCAATACATGCATATATTGTATAAGATCCAATCAGAATAGTTAGTGTATCTATCACCTAAACACTACTTTTTTATTTTTTATTTTTTGGCAGCTGGCCAGTACAAGGATCCGAATCCATGACCTTGGCATTATCAACACCATACTCTAACCAACTGACCTAACTAGCCAGCCCCGCTTTCATATTTTTTATTTAGCCTACTCTACTCTAGTTCATGAATTTGTTCAGTAATTTCAATTTTTACTACACACCACAACTTAAAGAAGACTGTCGTAGCTTTTCACTTAGCTCATGCCTTCTCATCTATCTGGGCTCTTCATTAACCATATTGTCTTAAATAAGTTACCCCAGAGAGTTTCCATCTTATCTCCCAATTTATTTCCTTATCACTATGTGAAATTCTTATTTATTCCTTTCTTATGTGTTGACTACTAGAATATAAAGTCCATGATAACAAAGTCCTTATCTAATTTTTCCACTTTTCTATCCCAATGTCCAGAATGGTGCCTAGCCCATACTAAGAATTCAACGGATGCTTGTGGAAGAAATGAATTGATCTTCACGTGGCCATCAGTCAACACCAAAAGCATGTCCATGCAGTGACCCGGCACTAAGAAGAAATGCATAACTCAATGCATTTCCAAAGGAAAAGGAAGAAGAAATCACAAGTGAAATGGCATGTTTCTCTTGCCAATGCCCCAGCTCACTCTGAGCCATGGAATTCATCACATCCTTAGACCCCTGCAATGGAATCATAAGACTGGATTCCAACCCACCCTACAGATTACAAGAGTTTCTCTGCCTGTTACTTGAGAAGCTGGAAATCCACCAGCTTGTCCAGCCCCACCAACCATTCTGTGCTTCTTGGAAGAGACTTTCTCCTGCATTGTAAGTTCCATGAAGTGGTTCCTCTATTTCACTCCCCCACAAAACACCCAGAGCCTGAGAAGATTTTCACAGAAGCATCCACTGAGTATTTATTGAACTAATTACTATCGTTTTTGAAGCAAGCTTTTCTGCCATTAAAGAATACATTGATTTTTTTTTTAAAAAAAATCATCCACTAGATGGCAGTGTCACTCCACAGCAATGCCCTATAATTTCTACCTCCAGGAATCTAGGGATGGGCTCGAATTTAAAAGCATTCAGTTCCAAGTCCCACAATCAGGGAACGATTCTGGATAATCAAAGGCTGTAGATTTCATCAAAGATGTACCAGGTGTTTAATAATGTTCCTGAAAGTTGATTTTTTAATAACTGCGAAGAAAATGATCAATTAATAGCTATAACACCTTGAGCAAATCACTTGATCTCTGCAAAGAACTCAGTTCTTTCTGGTGTAATTCAAGGAGATTCAAATGGGTGATCACCAAGATCCCTCCCTCTCTCCAGTTCTATTTGCATAGCACTGGCACTGAATAATAATGGCTGGCAAGCAACAGTCTCAACATCCCTCCCTAGATACAGAAGTAGAACAGCAATCTGCGCTATGGGAAAGGGCTCCCTGGACTGTCAGGCTATTTAACATCTCTGTGCTCCAGTTTCCTCATATGTGAAAGACTCACATACATACCTCATAGGTGGTTGTGAGAATTGGAGATGCATACATATGCATTCACTAAATGTTTGTTGCTATTATTGTTGATTCAATTCAGGTACAACTAAAAACCAATGCTTGAGAACTGACCTGAACAGACCAGGACTTGCAAGAAACACCTGCAGCCCAATCCTTGCCCTCAAAATACTTAGAAAGCTTGAATGGGCAAAAGGCAAGAACACACAAGACCACAATAAAAGAGCCTAAAGAAAAATGTCCCCTGAGATATGTAACTGGCAAAAGCAGTAATAGTGCCATCCAATTTGGAAACAGAGGATGAAAAGGAACAGGCCAGTCACAGGAATAATGCTTTATATTTGTGCAGTAGCTATAGTTTACCTTCTCATTCATAAAGTAGGCAGGACAGATATTTTTGGGGTATTTTACAAATAAAGGAACTGAAAGCTCCAAGAGTCTAAGTAACTTGCATCAGGTGACACAGTGAATACATGGCAAAGCAGGCCTTGTGGCAAAGTACTCTTTACCAGCCCAGTATTCTGGTACCTTCACTGTGACACCTCTTAGGGCATTGGGATGGCCCTAAAAGAAAACATTGGACTCATCCCAGACCAAGTCAGCAATATCCAGGCACAGAGAGAAAAGACCTGGAGGAGAAGTATCCTCACTCTGGGGAATGCCATGCCTACAGGATAACTATACTGTGGGTCTCCCAACATCGATAGGTGCTAGAACAACCACACACCTGCTCAACTCTGAACACCCGCGCTAATGGTGCATGGTCATCTGATCCATAATATATAATGCTTAGACCCTGTAGAGCTGGACTGATCTGGTCATCATTAGCTACAGCCAAAAAGGTTTTCCCCAAATATAAATTAAGTTTCCAAACCCTAAATGCCAAGTAATGCTAGAAGAATGAGAACTAAAAAGTGAGGGCATCGGGACAGATCCTAAATGAAACTACCTATTTATTCTGGATAATCTACATGTCCTTGGGTATCTCCTACTGCCCATATCCTCAAGTAGAGTTGGGAACAGCCTTTATATCCTCTGAAAATAAGCATTTGTTTAGCTTTCTCGATCACACTGGAGAAGATTTACCTGAGGAGCTATGCTTCTACAAGAATCACTTCTTCACGCTTTTGCTTCTTTTTCCCTCAGGCACAAGATCTTCAATAGGTTAGTGTTTTCTACTTTCTACAGCTCACACCAAATACTTAACTGCTGTTTGTTGACTGGCCAAGAACTGATCTGCAAAGCCCATTATAAACACGTGTTGTTGCTGTTTTATGTTGTTGCTGAGTGGTTCTCATCACTACTCAAAGAACTAATTTAAATACCCATTTCAAAACAGAGTTCTGAGAACACCACGCAGTTGGGAGGGGATTGGACCCTACCATCTCCTGAATTATCTTCATTTTTCAACATTTGACTCTACAGTCTTCATATGTACTTTCACCTTAAAGAAGTACTGGCATGGTTATCTGCTCAAAAAGAAACAAAAATTAAGAATGAGAGCTAGCCTAGAAGCCACAGCCTCTCTAGAGGAAAGTCAAGCAAATTGCTAACAGTTAAATAAGATGACATTCACGAAGCCAAATTTGGGGCTCCACTAGGAAACTGCCCTGTCTCCCAGAAATATAAACTCTCTCACCATGCAAATCTCCATGAACTAAATAAAAATGGTCACAGCTCCATGGCTGCAATGCTGACTCTTCTTTCCAAGTGAACTACTTTTCAAAAGATTTCATGGAAATCCCAAAACCAAGAACAGGTCAAAGAATTTATTTTCTTAAAACAAGGTCACCAAAGCATAAAACATATGCATGACAATAAAACACTTCTTCAAAAAAAAAAAAAAAGAAACAAACAAACTCATGTAAAGTACTGATCAAAATAATCATAAAATTAATATTAAAGAAGGATGACCAAGATGTTTCAGATGCTAACATTTCAAATCACTGATACGAGGCAGTCAGTCAGAGAGTAAGGTAGCAAAGTGCAGAATTAAGACCAAGGGTGAGAGAAACAGGACAAAAGATCTTGGTTTGACATGAAGCAGCACAGTCTAGCAGTTAGGGCTGCCCAGGAAGGAGGTGGTAGTCTTGGCCAGCAGTATTTCCTCTGCCAATGACAGGCTGGAGAGCCATAAGGGTGGGGTGGGATAGGAGGATACCAGGGCAGTCCAGGCATCAGGCTCCAGACGAGGCATGAGGACCAGGCTCCTGGTTTCCAAAGTTTCTTCCAATCCTAAACTTTCTGGCAAAGAGCAACGAGCCCACATCCACAGCACTATGTGAAGATTAAACACTTTACTCGGGATACTAGCAAAGTTTCTTACCTCCTGAAGCTGAGATTCTTTCTTTTTGGAAGACAAATTCAAGTGTTTTTCTAAGATGCCACAATACTTCTCTGTCTCTTTGTCATACTTCTTTTTGGCTTCCTGGCAAAAAAGAGGAGAGAAGAAAGAAAAAGAGTAAAATATCGCAGGAGCAAAAGCAGCCTCTGTCTCTCAAAATCTTTTTGCTCATCTTCATGACCTCATCCTTCCCTCAAGCACAGAACTACACCAGATAAATTGGCTCCTGCTCTTTCAACAATGCCCATTAAATCATGCTGCCACCGCCAACAGTCCCACGGGTAGTGCCTCTACCACAAAGGCACCAGTCCAGTGCCAGAAACAAGGTAAAAAACAGTATTTAATAGTGGTAAAGCCAGGACTCCTCCTCTAAGAACATCAATTGTGAAACAGAAATCTTTAGTTTCTAACCCACAAGGATGTTCAAAACCAGAGGAAGGGGGAAGTTACCCGCAAAGCCAATACCCAAGGAAGGAAGATTTACTCACAGCTTGAATGGGATGAGTCTAACTAAGGCTAGATTCCACTGTAATAGTATTCAAAAAGTACTTCTTAATATACGAGGGTCTTGAAAAAGTTCGTGGAAATATTCATATTATTATTTAATTCCATTTTTCCACCAACTTTTTGAAGGACCCTCACATAGGCCTAAATATCCCTTGATGCAATAATATCATATATGGGTCCTTAAGCTGAGGCATAATTCAAAACAGAGATGCTATCTTGTGTGGCTGGTTAGTTCAGCTGGTTAGAGCATGGTGTTATAACACCAAGGTCAAGTATTCAGACTTCCATACCAGCCAGCTGCAAAAAAACAAAACCAAAGATGTTATCTTCACAAATGTGTTTGCTACAGCACCATTTTCAACAGCAAAACAAAAACAGAAGCAGCAGCAGCAACATCACTGCCCAAGAATAGGGTTTATGATAATTACGGTATGAGACATCCAGTAAATGTAATTAGTCATATGAAAAATTGCTCATGACATAGCGAAAAGTAATAATAGCACGATCCAAGCTTGGTGCATCCTGTGTAGGGTGTGTTTACTATCTACGGACAAAAATTAGATGGGAATATACTTTTAAATGCTTGAGTTAAAAAAAGTAGGATAATGGGTAATTTTTCCTATTTTAGGGGATTTTTTTATTAGCCTATATTATTGCCTTCAAAATGAAAAATAATTACAATACACATAATCGCTACTCCCCCACCAAGTCATTGAGTCTCTGAGGTTCTATTTTTATCCCCCATTTTACAGATAAGAAAACTTGAACCCGGGAGATTAACTTGTAAAAAGTCACAGAGAGTGACAGAACTGGGATTTGAGCCCAGGACAATCTGCGTCCAAAGCCTACATTCTCCACCACACTTGAAACAGACTGTCACAGGCACTCTCTAGTCCTTCCGCATTCCAGCAGGTATGGCAGGCAAGGGGACTAGAAGAAGGTTGGCACTGGTCTGATAAACAGGATCAAATATATTAACAGGAAATATCATTCTTGCTTTTGACCCACATGGAACCCACAGAGGATATTTTTCTGCAACTCCAAGGCCTAAAAGAGGAAAAAAATTTCCAGCCAGATAAGGAAGCTCAGAGACATCTCTTTATTCATTTAACAAATTTATAATGAGCAAGCACTCTGTTAGGCCCTACTTCAGGCCCCTGGAAATACAAGACAGAAGTGGTCCCTACTCTCGTGATGGCAACATTCTAGTAGAAGGAAAAACACGCATAACCAGTAAACAAATAAGCAGCATAAATACAGACTGCTGCAAGTGCTACAAAGGAAATAAACAGTGGGTGGTCACGAAGATTCTCTAGACAAGGTGCTCAGGAAAGGTCTCACTGGGGAGGGGAGATGTGAGCTAAGACCTGCTAAACATGTGAAAAGGCAGTGCAAAGCCTCCCAGAGCAGGGGACTACGTGCAAACACCCTAGGGCAGATCAGTCTGGCCAAGAAGCCATCATCTGAAGCCCTGACAAGCTCCTGCCAGCAAGATTCTGAGCCTTGCAGAGAGGACAGAATAATCATATACTCATTTAGCTGACATTAATCCATTTCAATAAATCTGAATTTTGCTTAAAAAAACTACTCACATACAAGAACAATGAACCATACAGAAGCAAATTAAGAAAAAGCCTGAGGTAACATTAATCCTTCAAATTTGAGGATAGTACAAGCAAGAGACTTGACTCAAGCAACTCTTTTCCTTTATAAAAACCAGAGACTTTCAATTAATGCTCACATATATCCACTCCCACCAGCCTTGACAGCAACCCCAAAAAGGAGAACCCTGGTGCCAGCAGAGTCGAGCTGGCCAGAGGTGAGAAAAAGCTAGGGAACATGAGTCACTGGCATTCTGTGATGTTCTGGCAACTCCAGCCTCCACATTCCATGTTCAAGAGTATAGCCAAAGTCAGAGAAAAAGGTAAAGAGAAAGAAAAGAATAAAGAGAAATGGATGTAATTTCTGTCCCCAGAAAACAGAATCTCTGCAGGAATAAATCTACTAAGATTTAGATAGTATCCTTGATTAAGATGGGACGGTGGTATGGCTCAGAGTTATTTAGGATACAAGGTGGTTTTCACCTTCCAGAGAGTCCACTGTGGGGCAGCTAAGCAGATAAAGGACAGAGTTGGGATCTTGGAATTTACTCCCAACACTGTATGGACTGACTCTAAACAAGTCACTGTCCCTTTCCAGGACTCGATTTCCCCATCTAGACAGTGAGGATGACTAGAGGAGATATTTGCTCAGGTTTCCTCTTTCAGGTCAAAAATTGTATAACAAAATAAAGACAAGAACACCCCCTTCCTCATAGGACTGTTAGGATGAATGAGATAAACCATATCTAGTGCTTAGCAGAGTGCCTGGCACATGGAAAGTGCTTGATACATCCCAGTAACGGCCAAGGTAGTGATGATGGTGACAATGAGCTCATGATCCAAACCTACCTCCTTCTTATCAAGAACACCACTTGCTTCCATATTCCACATACCATGAAGGTAACCCTTCCAAGCACCTACCATAATTTGAAATTTATACATTTATTTATAGCTTTTTGTCTAATGTCTTTATCCCCAGCCATACCATGAGCACAGCAACCACATCTGCTTGTTCTCTATCAAATTCTAGTGCACAGCACAGTGCTGGGCACAGAGCAGGCTCTCAGATGTTTTTTAATGAATGAACTGTGTACCTAATATAATAGCTAACATCCAATAACCATATGAAAGCCACTGTCCTCATGTTCAAATAACTATATAACAGATACCATTTTAAGCACTTTATATGAGTCCACTCATCTCTTCCTCATAATAACTCTATGAGGGAAGTTCTATTATTATCCTACTGATCAGGAAACAGGCATGGAGAGGTTCAGTAACGCTTCACGTTTACATGGAAATGGCAGAAATGAGAGTTGGACTCAAGCTGTCCAGTCTAGGCTCCCTCTTAACCACTACTCTCATGTCTATTCTACCTTCATTATAGAGTCCAGCTCTTTAAATGTGCCTCTGATACAGGAAAAATCAACTTCTCCAAACTCAGAGATCTAAACTTAGGGGCCACGGTTATGCCAAGCTCCAGGGTCATGCCGTACTCTTGAGCAGCCACATCAGCACAAGAATGCCCCAGAGTCCCGTCCCCCCCCCCCCACTGCCAGCAGCCTTCACACTGAGCTCTCTGCAACAGGTTGTTATAGCAACCAAAGCAGCACCAGAGTGGGGAGGAGGAGGAGGAGGAAAAATAATTTTAGCATCTCACAGACAGAGGTCATAAACCTCCACTTGGCTGCTACCAAAAACAGCCAAAGAGTACTTGCTGGCTCTTAGGTATTATTGAGACCTTTCCCTAGATGGCCTAGTAGTGAGTTTGTTGTTTATTTTCTCTAATTTACATAATACTTTGATATAAATGTATGGGTGGGTGAGGAGGTGGAGAGGAGCGTACACAGAAAAAGAAATTACAAAAGGGGAAGGATGAGAAATCATCCCAAATGTCACCACAACCATTCTTTAGTGATTGATGTTTATTAATGATTTAATAAATGAGAGAATAAAGCATGCATGAGGGGAAACACGCTTTAGTGGCTTTTATTTAAATTTTTATTTTTACGTGTCTCACCTTCTATACCCACCTGGGGAAAGGACCTGCTCCTGTCATTAAGAGCACTGGTATTAAACTCAAAGGGAGCCCACTCAGACTTCTGTGTCTCCTGTGGTAATCACCAAACCAGTTTAAGGGAAGAGGCCAGAGTGAGAGATCGTGCTCAGAAGGAGAACTAACTACTACACAGATGACTCAATAAACAGTCAGCTGCCTCTGCTTCAGACCTCTTCAGAACCTCTGGCAGCCACTGCCATGGGTGTTCAGAACCAGGAAAGCAAGGCCCCACGGCTGCTAGAGAGAAGACCTGCTAGTTGGGCCTGTGCTGGTGAGAAAGGAGAGAGCGTTCAGTCATGGTATATTCCCAGCTGTCACTGGGTGGTTTAAAGTCTCAGACAAAATCTTAGTGGAACAAGACTACCTTCAAATTATACATTCCTTAATCTCTGATACAAAGCCAGTGCGCTCCAATTTCTTCATAAATGTAAACTAAAATTGGAAGAAAAGTGCTGTAAAATTGGGAGAAAAATCTTTGCCATGGTCTCTCCTTCAAACTATGGCCAACCATCCTTCTGAAAGACCCTTCCTAAATATCTTTCTCAGGCCCTAATCATATCTATTCCCAGAAAGCAGATACACCTACGGGAGAGAGAGAGAGACACAGACAGACAGACAGACAGACAGACAGACAGAGGAACTGACACCTCACTTTGTTATATTTTGGCTAATTTTCTCCCCACCTACAATTACTTCTCAAGACCATACCAAGTAAGAGGGCATTATTGTCCAAAACTCCCTGCAGGTGGCGCAACGGACTGTGGCTCAATTGATACAGTTTCAGAAATACAGGAAAAAAACATTAAAAATCCTTTTGCTTTCATTCATTCCAATGAAAACATCTCCCCTGCAGGCGCCCTCTAACACTGTACAGAAGGTCAAACCAGCTAGGGTTTCCTAGTGATTTATCACAGGGCCGGGGAACCCTGGATAACCCACCTTTTAAAAATGAACAGGTTTCCCCCTTTGCAGTCTTTCAATAACATATTAGAATTGGCCAAGTTTTGGCTAGAGTCCCTCCAGGTCAGTGATAACAAATGATGACTTCTGGGTTGAAGCAGGCCTGCAGATGTAGTTTTTTGACCTGAACAAGGTGTACTATATATATATACATCCAAACTATCTGCCAACAGATTTCACATAAAACTCTGGCTTTTCAGTTTCTCTCAAAAAATTTAAATATCGGCAAAAGTGGGTCCATTTTCACACACAGCTAAAGTTGGCTAAAACTAAGTACCTGCTGCCTCTCTTTAAAGAGGTTCCCAGCACCCACAAGGCCTGATTTGCAACCCCTACTTAGGCTGTGGGTCCTGGAGCTCTACAATAAATACAATTCTGCAAAAACAAAGTATTGTCCAATATAGTCAATTGTCCAGGCACACAGCTATGTAATAACTCAAAAAGATGTGGTTTCTATCTTTGAGTAATTTATGAACTAGTGCAAAACAACTGGATAACAAGGTACTAGAATGGCTGCTCTGGGATTGAATACTCAGACAGTTGTATATTAGTCCCTTGTAAAGAATAGACAAGTTAGGCTCTAGGCTTATCTGCCTAAGAAAATTTTCTGAAGAAGGTGGGCTAGGATTTTCTAAAGATGGTGTTGTGTCTTCCAGGCCTCCAACCATAAAATCCAGGAACAGGTCTTGTGAAACTCTCACCTTGGCAGCCCCGATCTGTTCCTTTCGAAACTTCTCCAAGGGTGTGATGAGCACTTCACTGGCATTCTCAATCTGGCAAAGAAAAACCAGAAGGGGAGGGTTATAAAAAAGCAGTATCAGTAAAGAATTACGGCCACTCCATCACAAAATGCTTACGCATTTCTTAGTATAAAATCTGTGTAAGAAATATTGTACATGTGTCAACTGTTTATACTTGAATTACCATGTCAAATCAAAATCTAGTAGTTGGTTCAAAACATGATATTCTTCCTGTGCCTGATTAATATTGATTCTTTAAAAGTAAAAAGGAGGACCTCCAAAGACGTAAGCAACCGTCTGAGGACAGAAGGAAGTGGCAAGAGTAGTGTCTAAGATTCAAGCTTCAGATAAGATCTTCTTATAAACGCTTATTCACCCAAGTTATAGGCAAAGTAGATCAACACTGAGTCTAGGCTGAAAACAAAACCAAAACACCTTTGGACATCTGGTGGCATGAACATCCCAAGCGTGATTTTGTGTTGCCCTATTCTGTACTGGGCCAGGACATCTGTGCCTCCTGACCACTGGCTGCCTCCCAACTTCTCCTCACAAGGCTCATTCCTCAGGCCTTGCATTCCAATCCACTATCAGCCCAAGGCACCTCAGATGCACCAAACCCATCCCATCTCAGGGCCTTTGCATCTGGCTGTGTCCTTAGACACTCTGTCCCCCAAATCTTCACATGGATGACTCTCTATTGTAAAAATGGTTTCAGCTAAAAGGTCACCCTCTTAAAGGAGGCCTTTCCTGAACACCAGTGTAACCCAAAGAAGCTTCCCCTGACACTGTTTTCTTCCGAACACGTATGCCAGCTGAAGTTTTCTGGTTCACCACTACACACGCACACACATATATATAGACACACACATATTATTATTTACATACCTACACACATATACACATTGGGGTGTGTGTGTGTGTGCGTGTATATATATATATACATATGTGTGTGTGTGTGTGTGTGTGTATATATATACACATATGTGTGTGTGTATATATATACATACACATATATATATATGCATACCACTCTCTTGTAAGTGCTCACTTGTCCACCACTATTCCCAAAACACAGAAGACTGCTGAAACAAAGGAGCACTCAAACATTTTTGAATGGCTAAATGAATGAATGATTTGATTGGCTGCCAACTGTGTGACCATGGGCAAAACATTTAACCTCTCTAGGCTCAATTTCCTCATCTGCAAAATGAGTGTGCTGAATTGTTCCAGTTTTAAGATTCTATGGTCTTTTCTAAGGCAGTACAATATTTTATAATCTTTCAAGTCATTCATTGCTCACTCTTTGCTCAACTAATTATTTCAGGAATGTCATTACAACAAAGCATTATTTTTTCTAATCCTATGCATGTCCATCACAATGAAACCAACAAAGTAAATGCCAGAAGCAATAAATGGATGCAGTAAAGAACTTACTGAACAATGTGAGAGACATAAGAAGGTAGTTCTACAAACTTATTCTCATTTGCCTTTTTCTCAATTTTGAGAACACTTATTTTAGAAGAGTTCATTTTAACACTGCAGTGTTGCGATGACATTTAGCTTGTTTGTTTATTGTTATTGACAGTGCTTAATTGGTTCACTAGTTTAAATCTTTTCTACAAATCAACAGCAAGTCTCCAAAGTTCACCATAGCGTGCTGAGATTCTATGTCAATTGTCTCAACCTCGGCTGCATGTTAGAATCAGCTGGGGAGCTTTTAGAAATCCCAATGTCCAGGCCACACTCCAGACCAATCAACTCAGAACATACAAAGGCACTCAACTGCTCACTTGGGAATCAGGACACCCAAGTTCCTGTCCCAGTCCTACTATTACTTGCTGTCAGCCTTGACCTATTTCCTCATCGGTCAAATGAGGAATTGCAGATCGTGAGGAATAAAGTTCCTCTGAGTCTAAGATTCTATGACTATGTAACCCCCGGTCAGTTCCAAGCACTGTGCTTAATGTTGGGGACACAGAAGATCATTCTCTGCACTTGAGGAACTCATATTTACTATGGGGCACAGACATGTAGAGTGATTATCAGGACACAACGTGGTAAATGTGGAATCAGAGGCATAAACTGGATGTTAAGACAATACAAAGGATGGCCAAATATCCTAGGGAGTCAGGGAAGGCTCACAAAACAGTTGCAGCTTTGCTAAACTCAGCTGAATTGATGCTGAAGCTGTCACTTGGTGAAGAGGTAGAGAAGGGGCTGGCAATGGCCAGATACTCGAATGCAGACAGTAGAAACTCAATTCACTGACATTAATAATAAAATTGCAGAGGCAAGCTGCAAAGCATAATCCAGTCATTGTTCCCCTACCACAGGCCACAGCAATCTGTGGGGTATTCATGGTGATGTGCTCACCACGTCCTCCACCCCCAAATACTGATTTGGCCAAGAATCAAACTCAAAAGAATCATTTCCCTTTCTCAAGCACTAGCATGTGCACAAACATACAAGCTTTCCCCTACCTCCACCTACCACCAATCCTGCTGCTGCTGCCGCCGTCACCGCCGCCGCCACCGCCACCACCACCACCACCCTCCTAATTATGGTGGAAGCACCCAGCAGTGAGCAATCAGGAGAAACAGGATCTCTCTCTGCAGGGCAGAAGGTGAGAGACTTCTGCTCTGTTTTGGAGTTTTAAAGAAATTCCCACATTCTTTGGTACAATGCGGACTTGGATTTGAATCCAGACTGTGCAACTTATTAACTGTGTGATCCTGGACAAGTTACTTAACCTCTGTAAACCTCAATATCTTCTTCTGGAAAATGGGGATTAATATAAGGACCACTTCACAGAGTCATCATGAGCGTTAAAATAGAAAATGCATGTAAAGTAGTTGGCTACATAACGTCTTGGTAAACTTAGTGCTCAAACTGTCAGCTGTTAGTATGGGAGGAGAAGAAAAATGCTCACTGATGGAATTTTCCCCAGGCCTTTGGAGCACTGCTGCCCGGAGATAAGCTTTCGTAGGGGCAAACCAGTGTACAACCAGCAGGGGATTTCAAATCAGACTTCATTCTTGATATCTTAGAGATATGGGGGAAGATGCAAAGGAATTTCCTGTAGATTTGGGATCTTTCATCCATTAATACTGAACTACATCAGAATAAATCCTAACATAAAAGATATCTCTTAAGAACTGGGAGATCAGCATTTGAGTCTTGAATCTGCACAGTGCCTCTCTTTGAAGAACTTATGGTAACCTTCATTAACTAAGTACCTTCTACATGTCAGGCACTGTATTAGGTGCTTCAGAATTAAAAGGGAAAAAGTGACTTCTGCCCTCAAAGCACTCTTGGACAGGTTTAATCAGGGAGCAGAGTGGGGCATTTTCTTTTCCATTCTGCTGGTAGAGAGTCTGAGGCCCCAAAAAGTTAAATAATTCAAAAAATCCACCCTTAAGTCATACATCTTATGCATAAACCCTATAGGGAATCTTTAGGACAACAATGTCATTCCAAAGATACCCAGCAGGGTACTCCTTTATCATTTACAAAAGGCTTCAAACCCTGCAAAGATGAGGCTTGCTCAAGAGCTCAAAGCACTCAAATAGCACAGTATGAACTTGAACCCAGTTCTTCTGACAACAAATCCGTTGCTCCCTCAATGTGAACATACTGTCTGGGACCAAGAGCAACCCAGCCATACTCACCATCCGTATCCGTTCATCTTCAAGATTCCTGAGGACAGTGGCAAATTCCTGCAAAGACCTCGCTGGAAAAGAAAAAGGGACCATGAGGGGGAAGGAGAACAATGGGTCTTCAGGAGCCTTTCCAGCTCCAGCTATTCAGCTATTATTTTATGGACTTAAATTTGGTATATGCAGACACCTAAAATCAACTGCTTCCCAAGACTGTCCTTATCTTTTAATCATTAACCATTAAAGATGACACAAAAATGCAGGTTAATTCCACCCAGCACTCTAACTAGGGAAGGATTTCTTCAAGGAAAAGACCTGTCTGTTCTGAGAGTGCCCAGGACTGGTGAGATGCTGGCAGGCTCTCAGCCCTGGGCTGGAAGGGGCAGAGTTCTGCTTAGGAGTTGAAGGATTTCCTGTTCAGAATTCGACCTCCTCAACCTTTGTCATGAGGTTGCGTCAGAACCCAATCTTTTCTTTGGCACTAGAATGAAACAAACAGTGCTGCTGGCATCAGAAGCCACATCTCTGGCTTCTCCTTTGGTTCCTCCTCTCTGAGTCCTAGAGCCACTTATTAATAGAATGCAGCTTGCAGCACGGCAGTCAGACATGGATCGTCTTCTTTGCCAGGATTATCCACAAAGGTCATAGGCATTAGGTGCAGTGGCCCTGAGGATACTTGGGACTCTTGTGCAACACTGGGAAGAGCATCCATACATTCACAAGACACAACAAGGATGTGTTTTCACTGCTCTCAGCTATCTCCCAATTGCCTTTGCTCAGCCCCACATCCTGTGGCTCTGCATGGCAACAGGGACTCAAAAAGGATTTCATGAATTCATTCAATAAAACTTTCTCAATTCTTGCTCATTTAATGGGGTCAATCAAGAAGCCCAATGTAAGAAGAATAAGGTGCAATGACAAGTCCCTGGCAAGAAAGGTGTCTTGACATTGCAAATCCTCCATGTGTCAGGGAATGGTGAAGAGGGAGCAGCACAGTGTGGTGATCAATGGCAACCCACCTCCGCCTCTTGTTATGGAAATGAAAGGGAGAGGTAAGGACCACAGTGAACTGGACACTGAGCTCCTGTCCCCAGCTGATGGCAGCGGCAGCTACACAGCTCCAGCCAACTACTGCCAGGCCAGAAAGAAGGGCCAGTGGATCAGATTCTCAAACTCTTCAAAGAAGCTGAAAAACTGGAATTTTAGATCAATTCAATTTAAATGGTAATTCAATTTAAAAAATGAAAGCCAAATAAAACATGTCTGCATTCAGATCTTAGCCCATGAACTATTATTTTGCAACCTCTGATCTATTTCTTCCCTTATCTACCTGCGACCTACTTTTGCTCTAAGTTCTTAGCATTGTGACTAGGGGAAGAACGTCACCAAACCAGCTAGAACACTTAAGGAAGGTGGAGAGGACAGTCCCCTGCAATACTTTCTCATGCACACTGGAGGGCAATCCCAGAACTCAAGAAGCCCAGAGTAGCCCTAGCCCTGATCCTCACATATCTCTCTACCCCTCCACTAGGGACTTCTCTACTAACCTTAGAGATCTCCTATTCCAGTGAAAAGACTGAGAACAATGAAAGCTGTAATGAATAATGAACGTTTTTATCTTTGCCAGTTATGACTTACCTATACACATCTCATCATCTGTTTCTGCATCTCCTATGCACTGGAATTTAAATTCATTTAAAGAATCTGCAAACTTCCGCTTCGCTGAAGACAAATCTAGCAAGAAAGACAGAGAAAAAATCAGGAATTACTGAAATTAAACTGGCTTTCCTGTTTGGTGCCCTTTTTAGTCCTTCTGCGGATATAGCAGGAAGTAGGTTTGTTACTGAGTCCATTTCAAAGCACAAAAGAATGCAAATTCAAAATAGTAAATACTGGCTTATAACATGAAGCATTGACTTGCTCTAGAAGTTAATGATATTGTTATATTTGCTTTAACAATTCTAGTCCTATCTCTACCCTCAAGCAAAGTCCTGTCATCTCCACTTGACAAATGTAGGAATCCACTTGCCTAGGGAGGTCAGGGAGGAAGCCTGGGTCAGAGCCAACCTCAGTAACCACAGCCAACCACAGCCTGCAGGTCTACTCCACCACTGACCCTCCATGTGGCCATTGCAGCTGCCCTCACATCTGATTCAACAATACCTTCCCCTAAGTCCAATTTACAACCCTCACAACTGAAGTCAGGAAGAGAGCCTGAGGAAAGGTGGAAGGAAGGGCTTGGAGCTGTCCTGACTTCTTGGCACAGGAACACCTGGCCTTCCTCTTCCAACTCAAGGACAGATGAGGCCTGAGTTCTCAGAACCTTCTCTAGTCTCCAAGCAGAGTGGCCAGCTAACCTGACAAATTCCCACCAGAACCATTTCCCTGGGTGGCCACATCCACTACCACCAGGAGAATAAAGCCCTGGCAATGTTTTGTATTGGGGTAAAAAACACACCCCACACATAGCATCTGCAACAAAAACTCAGAGGCCCTTGTCAAATGAAAACAATAAGCTTTCACTGAAGACAGTGATAAAAGGCAATGATCCTTTCTGAGCCTTCAGCTTCTGTTAAGGGTATAAAACCACCAAGGTACTTTTAAGTGGACTGACAGACATGGCTGCTCAGTACAAATGTGATTAACTTAATTCCATGTGCAGCTTCCTGCAGATTAAGCTAATCATTCAAATTACCCTCATCCATGTTTCCCTCATTGAAGGGGAAATGGCATTATGTTCAAATTTCCAGAAGAGGGAAACATGAGGCATAACTGGCTTTAATAAGATATTTAGGCACGGGGGGTGGGGAGGCCAGAAGGGGTGCATCATGGCTTTACAGATCAACCTAACCTACTAGAATAAAAGTATCCATAATCCTCAGCACTTCTCCTTCTTAGCTACCAGATTTTCCCCTTGAGATTAGGGGTCATGTTTTTCTTCTTTTGATCTTGTTTGGTTTGTTTCCTCTCCATGTACCTGGCAGTGCACACTGCTCGGCATGTGCTAAATAAATGCATGGGGGGCAGGCATGGGTAGGGGCACTGTACATAAATCCAAGCCCCAGTGCTCGTTCCAAGCAATGGCTGCTAGTGGAAGAGCCAGGCTTGGGCTGTGCTGCTGTTCTCAGGTCTGGGGCTCAGGCTACTGCATGGATAGCAGCAGCGCCTGCTCCCCGACCGCCCTCCACAGGCTTAGATGACATGGGTCCCAAGCTACCTGTGGCTTGTGCAAAGCATTCTGCTCTACACCAAAAGAGGCACTTGGGGTGGAGAAGGACAACACAGGAGCCCACAGCTAACAGTCTCTCCCTGGTTCAGTCACTTTCATGGAATGGTCCTTGCCAGAAAGTCAAAAGATGCTGGCAGGGAACTCAGGCATCTCTCAGAACTGGCCAACCCAGACTGAGAATATCCCTCAGAAGCAAATCACTCCTCTGGCAAGTCAAGAAAGAAACAAATGTATCTGAAAGTCAGAACACTGTGGGGAAGAAAGAAAGAGGAGGCCACAGGCAGGAGGAAAAAAGAGAATAATATTTCAGAGTAGAAGACAAAGCCCCCCAGGAGCCCCAAAATGTGTGTGCATCAAATGTGAGTATAGCTGTACACATTCTTAATTTAGTCAGAATGTTCCCCCATCAGAACTCACAGAGAAAGGCCTGAGCCAAGAGCAAGAACAGTTTTGTTTCTCTACCCACCTGACAATCTTCCTGTGCCTTCCCAACAGGACAAAGATTCAAGCTGGACAATCATCTCAACAAAGTGGAAAAAAGGTGAAACGTTAAGCCAGGCTTGGGAAAGCGTCCAGCATGCACCTGAAAAGCTGTGCTGCCAGGGGCCGCTGCCAATGAGGATCAGGGAGTGGCTAGAAATGCACAAGAGGCCTTTGTGGGGCCTCGTCACAGGAGCACCCATTTAACCAGGAGCAGGGCCTGTTCGCTGAAGACCAGAAGGTAACCTGATTTCATTGCCTGGTGGCACAGAGCACAGCCTGCCACAGCACAAACCTGAGATGCAGGATGGGGACCGTGAGGCTAAGAAAGAGGCCTATCTGCCGACGGAAGATTGGGTAATGAGCACAGGTACAGAGTCAATACTGGGCTGTTGGCCAGTCAGGACAGCTGGGGAGAGTGAGAATCTCAATTACTGGAACCTGAAAAGGAGCTTAATAGAGGAATCTTTCAGTAAAGCTACAGTGGACACCTGTTGTTTTGCTTGTTTGGAATCCATTCCCCAGACTTTGGAACAGCACCTCAAGTTGGATTTCTGCTTCTCCACTTGCATTCTATGGGGTGCTGGTTATAGGCTGATCAAACCCAACCCCTTGCCCCCACCCCCACCCCACTAGCTCCCAGGTTCAAGTTCCAGCTCTACTATTTATTGGATATGTAAAGTCTCAGTTATTTCATCTGACAGAAGTTGTCAGCCCTGTGGTTTATTTAGATAGGGAGAATCCAGTAAGACACACTGTAGAAGCATTTGTACACCGAAAGGTTCAGTTCCAGGCAAGGCTCGACTATTCTCTCCTAATCTATGATTCCTCCAGGAACAGGATCCAGGGAAGGTAAGCATGACTACCTGTGTTTGGAGCTCAGAAAAGTTAAAAGAACTGACATAAAAGCAAACAGCCACTACAGAAGGGACCTGTGACTAAATCAAGTCCTCTGAATTGAGACTCTTGTAGCATGTGGGAACACCATGCTACCTCACCCCAAAGGACATCAAAAAGAATTTCTACCCAAAAGCCATTGCTTCTTGCCTATTTCAACCCAAAAGGATTGGTGGTATCTTACGTAGATTATCACCTTAGATACGCAGCTCCCCAAAGATTTATTTCTGGAGCTCTCTCTGTTGCACACAGGCATCTAACATGCACATTCCACTAAGAGGAGAGGGGAGGGGGGGAGGTTGGTAGTGGTGCTGGGTGCATGCCAAGCTTTGTGGCACCCTGCTCATATAACCCCACTGTTTCATGTTCAGGCGGTGCGAGACACAGCGAGGAGCCAAGCAGAGTCAATAATATTTACTTTACAGAAACATCTGTTGCTAGAAAAGCAGAATACTGGCCAGAATAGAAAGTCATAATTGCCAGCACCTGGGGAGGCTAGGGCTCTGTCTTACAGAGAACACAGGCTCTGCCTCTCAGATTGAGGAGACAAGACAGGTAAAAGATGAGGAAGCAGCTAGGAGTCTGGGCCTTAAGAAACTGCTCCCAAAGCCATCTGTTCATTTAGGACCAGAAGAAAGTGGCCTTCTCTTCCTGGAGATGCCATGTTCTGCTCTAGCAGATATTAGCCTGCATAGGCTTTTAAAAGAATTTAAACCAACTATGATCCTTCTTTCACTAAAACGGGCTTACCATAATTTTTTTTAAAATTTGAATCTAATTTTACACAAGTTTTACCAGTAATACCACAAGTCACGTCACTTCCATTTTCTCCTGGGGTAAAACTTGACATACATGTGTATCCACAGTCATGTACACACATGTACACCCACAAAATGAAGGACTCAAGGTATCCTTGCAATTGTATTCGTTTTCAGTGCATCTACTGCCTTTCTGTGACCTCCAGAGTTGCCAAAAATCTATATTAACTACCTTAAAGATTTTCCTACTCAGTCACATCTTTCTCTCTGGACTTGGAACGTGATTACAGCTAATAAAGACCATTGCTAAGGTAAGAACTTGCAACAGGATTGGACTCCTAGCTGCTTAAAGCAAAAGAATACCAAAGTCCCCAGACCTTGCTAATCTCTCCCTTCTCTAATTGCCAATTACACTTACTTCTCTATGTGTTATCATCACCTTGTATTTGGAATGATTCTGGAACTATTCACAAATGGCATCACATCATAATGCACAAAGAGTGCCTAGGACATGGTTGGATACAGTGTCCCTCAAAACCCATTATACTCTCCTGAGTAGACAGAGCAACACAAATTGGCTTACAGGTGGTGTCTGAGAATCTCCAGAGAGAACCCATGATGACAGCTGAGAGATGGCCACACACTCCCTGCGAGACCGCAGGTTTACCCCACATCTCCAATCCCAGGTAAAATGCAACACACTCAAAACCAAACTCTCTCTGTCCTCCTACCCTGTCCCAAAAGAGAGTCAAGGGCCTCTTCCTGTGTCCCCAGTGAGATGTAGGGCACCACCATTTATCCTGCCACAAAAGTCAACACCCACATGACCTCCTTGACAGCACAGTCTCCTCTATGTGCCATGTCCACTCCCAAATCTCTGCATTTTGCCTTGTAAGCATCTTTCAATTCTGTCCACTCCTCCCTTTCACCATCAGCAACCCAGAAACCAAATACACTCATTTGCTTGGGTAACTGCCTCCTTTCTGGTCTTCCCACATCCACTTTTGTCCCTCCAGTCCTCCACTCCATCCTGTCAACCCCAGCAGTGAATCCTGTGATGGCTTCCCAGAGCCCTGAGGATGAAGACCAAAGTCGCTCCCAAGGCCTGAGGGACCCTGCAGGGTCTGGCCTCCCTACCTCCCTCTCTGGGCTCCAGCTGGGATGTTCCTCCTACCTGTCACCATACACCTACTCTGCCTGCAGCACTCAGCTCAAAAGTTCCTTTCTCCAGGAATCCTTCCTTGACTTCTCTAACCAGGCCAAATCCAACCCTATTTTTCCCTCCTTGAGTACCATACACCTTTTCTTCAGAGCAATTTTATACTTGTTCGGGTAATTTTTTTTTGGCAGCTGGGTGGTACGGGGATTTG